GAGGGGATAGTCCGTCTGCGCGCGCACGCTCGCACACAAGCAACACGTCGTAGCCAAGCGTCGAGCGCACACGTTTTTACGACGTGTTGCTTGTGTGCGAGCGTGCGCGCGCAGGCGGACTATCCCCTCTCCAACCCCCACCATCGCTGCAGCATACGGGTAAACGTTCCCGGCTGGCATCACTGCACCCAAGTTCACTCTGCTCGGAGCTCTAGGAGCGTCAGGATCGCTGTTTCCGTGAACCGCCTTTTGTGCCTCTGTCGCGACGCGCAATGCAGAAAAATATCGAACAACGTTACGCGATCAAGTTTTGTGTTAAACTGAACAAAAGTCTCGCCGACACCCACCAAATGATTCAGAAAGCCTACGGGGACTCTGCTCTCTCCTATTCTCAAGTTTCCAGGTGGTTGAAATTGTTTAAAAATGGCCGGAAAGAGGTGGAGGACGATCGCCGCTCCGGAGCGCCGATAACCGTCAAAACTGACAAAAATGTTTCTCGAATTCAGGAGTGTTTAAATACCGATCGTCGAATGAGTATTCGGATGATAGCAGAGACTCTCAGTATTCCGAAAACCACTGTGCACGACATTGTTACCAACAATTTGCACATGCGGGAAGTGTGTGGCAAGTTGGTCCCCAAATTGTTGACTGACGACCACAAGAACAACCGAATGATGGTCGCGAGAGAACTTTTGGAATGTGTGCAAAACAAACCTGATTTTTTGGATAATGTCATTACCAGCGACGAAACATGGGTCTTCGAGTACGATCCGGAGACGAAGCGCTAAAGTTCCGAATGGCACACCTTAGAGTTCCCTCGTCCCAAGAAGGCAAAAATGAGCATGTCGAAAGTGAAAACCATGCTCGTTGTCTTCTTCGACGCCAAGGGTGTGGTCTACAAAGAATTCGTACCCCAAGGACAGAAAGTCAACGCTATCTACTACGAGAAAGTGCTTGGCAGATTAAGAAACAGAGTCCTTCGCATCCGAAAGGAGATCGCCGCTACCTGGCAGCTGCACCACGACAATACTCCCAGCCATACCGCTTTGCGCGTCCAGGAGTTTCTGGCCAAGCACAGCTTGGTAACGTTGCCCCAGCCCCCCTACAGTCCTGACCTGGCTCCGGCAGACTTCTTTTTGTTCCCAAGGATCAAGACTGCCCTGAAAGGAATCCGTTTTGATACCATAGAAGCGATCCAAACCGCCGTGACGAAGGCTCTAAACGAGATTCCCGTTGACGCCTTCCAGAATGCGTACCGTACATGGAAAAGTCATTGGCAAAAATGTGTGGATGCCCAAGGGGAGTACTTCGACGAATTTTAAACGTTTGTAATGATATCTTTAATAAATTTTTTTATAAAAAATGAATTGCATTACTTACCGGACAGACCATGTATATTTTATAATTAAAAAGTATATTTTTCTATCATAATTTAAATTTACTGATATTGTACTTTCAATAATAAATATAATTCTATTCCAAATAAATTAGCGAGAATAATAAAGTTTTCAAGATATGCCTATATAAATTTCGAAACTTTTTTTCACATTCATTCCTTATACTTTAATTATTGTTTGCTCTATATTAAAATTTTAGATTGGTCGGAGTAATAGCATATACTACCAATCATTACATTGGATATGCTAAAAGAATACATGGCTCGTGGAGCAAATATAATGATCTGACAAATTCAGTGCAATATTATACAGTAGAAGACACAATAGAACTACATGGAACAATATACATAAGTTTACAAGCATAAATACATGTACTTATATCAACATGTGCATGTAAAAATATCACGAGACACGGTAGTGTCTCGCGCCAAGTGTAAGCGTAGCTAGTACACGCGTGCGAGACCGACCGTGTAAGTTTACGCGAGTACACGAGTTGACGGGCCCTCAGATTTTCGGATCTCAACAACGGCTGATCCGACGAAATTGAGACTGCGCTTAATCGATAGCTTGGGTACGATTTGCATAAAAGTGTTTTTACTTTTCTCCTACGTGCTCCAGGAGTGGAGGTATTGCAATGCAAAAGTCAGATTTATTAAATTTTGGATTAAGAAACGTCTTTGTCGTCGTCTTGGTCGTCGTCTTCGTCCCGGTCGTCGTCGTCGTCGTCGTCGTCGACCAGACCAGCATTTTCACTTGACTTTTCACTTGA